GCCGGATAATCTCCACATGTCTACCCTACTTTTATCATTTTTGAATCGTAAATCGAATCGCCAGAAGCTAAATGCTAACGTTATGCTATAAAGGAACTACAGCAGGGTCGCTACTTCAACGTCACGCCAACTTAAGATCCATATTCAAAACTATAGATTCAAAATTGTACAAGTTGAAGCGTTTGTTTGAACAGTCTGCAGGAGGCAGGTACTTGCTTTCAAGCGGAACACGGGGGAAAATCTAACTTTTTCAGCGGGAGTGTTTACGTGTTCGGTGTAATGACGTACAACGGCCTGGACAACTTCTGTAGTCCTATTCAGCCACATGTTAACAACCATCGTTTTTCAGACACGTAAACTCTGCAGAAATCACCAGTGGGGTCACTTCTGAAACGTGATCCGTCTCTTGAATGTGTCTCAACCACAGACCTTATTTCCAGCTATTTTCCAAAATCCTATGGAGAAATTGCGTTGCTTTTTTGTTGAGGGAACCGGAAGTGGTCAAATGCTAACTTACTTCCGGGTTTTAGGACGCGTCACTGCACCACTCTATTTGCTAGCACTCTAAAACAATTAGAAAGAGAAGCTGGCCATCAGATAAAGACACCACGCATCTACATTTCACTTTCACTGTATGGTGACGAGACCCTACATGTCTCTTTTGTTTTTCGTCTGACTCTCATTCTCCAGTTTCCTGTAAGTCAAATCATCCTGCTCTCATTATCACATTTCCCTCCCTCCCTCCCTCACCCTGTCCTTTAACACAATATATTTACACAGCCTGTGAACAATCTCATTTTCAGTCTAAAACAAGCGGCCGCTGTGGGATTCAATCTACACTACATTGTGTCACGAGCAGGATGAATTTATATCTGATGAAGTAAAACAATACAGAACATCAGTTGTTTCTCCAGTGGAGGAAACCTCGGTGCCTGATTATGGTGATAGCGTTTTTCATCAGGTTCGTTACTGAGGGGTCATGTGACTTCGTATTGGGTAACATAGACACAATAGCACTGATAACTGTAGTGTCATATTAAAGGGGGTTAGGGTTAGGTTAGGGTTCATTGTAAAAAGCTTCTGTATCTGCCTGGCAGCAGTTTGGAGATGAATTACACTCACTGTTTTGGCTTCTTGGAGCTGGGGGGGGGTGGGGGGGGATTGCATCAGCTACTTGCAAACACTGAAACACAGTTGTGTGCCAGAGCAGTAATTACATCCTGTGTGCGTTTGTGTGTATGTTAGCGCGTGTACGTGCATTAACCACTCTAATTAGCATACTCAGGAGAAATTAACTAGTGAGCGTTAAGTCATTTAGCAGCTTTTGTCTTTCATCTACAAACTCTACTTTTTAAAATATGTGTGTCCAGACTACTCCGAATCATCTACCTCCTTATCTGTTGCTAAGAGCCTCTTTGGGCTTTGTTAACCCCTGTGTGGTATTCAAATGAGGGTCCTAAAGGTTTGGGGTTAATAAATAACATGGCCAAGGTGTCGGGGAGGTAGGATTTTGTGTGCTAGCATGGATCAGCCTAATTAACACATGGCCATTGTCAATAAGTCATGTGTGAAAGACTAACAACCACTGAAGTACATAAAACATGTTCAAACACACACTTTAGCATGTAGCCTTCGTTTGGTCGATTTCTCCCTATCACACACACCTTGAAAGACCCACAGTCGGCTGCACTCACACTATCAAAAGAAAAGTGTGAGAAAAGTTTGTGAGTGACACGGTTCAGCTGGGAATGTGAGCTCTCCCTTTGAGCCGGTGGCTAAAAATAGCTTTCTGTGCCAGCCCAGCTCTGTAGGCCATGTGTTGAAGCAGCTACGTGAAGCTAAACGCAGCTCTGAGTTTTAGCAGGTCACACTCTGTTAAGTAGACCGTATTCAGCTCGGTTTGATAAACACACCGATCAGGATGGACACCAATATCACACATGTAGATAAGAAGTGACAAATGCACATATAGCAGAAGATACACATGTAAGAATATTTAAAGTTGTTAAATCTGTTGACAAACTCAAATATAATCCATAGCAATTATGTATAATCAGCAATAATGATTCCTTTAGTGCGTATAATCTCTTTGATAGGGAGGCTGTGGCGCAGTGGGAATAGTGCGTTGGTGTTCGGATCAGGGGAGCACAGGTTCAAACCCCACTGCAGTCAGCATGTTGTTGTGTCCCTGGGCAAGACACTTCACCTCAAATGGCTCCTGTGGGGATTACCCACAGTATTGAGTATGTCAGTCAAGTCAAATGTAATGTAATGTAATGACAGCCATTTAATTAATGTGGTTAGAACAAGGGAAACCAGTCTTCTGCCATCACCTGCACCCTTTCACTGTCACCTTTACCCTTCAGCTCATAATTATCACTCAATTTCTGCCACATCTTCTATTTTATTCACTGTTTTAACTTACTGAAAAATATACAACTTTTAGTAAAACATGAACCTGCAGAGAGCTGAGATTAAGTAATGTTTGCACATCATACTATCCGCATCGTGAAATGAATTACTGCGGTAGAATCACAGACTTGCATGAGAGGCGATACAACGATGTGAACGTGTAGAAGACTGCTCAGGTTAGCAAACAGATGGCCCTAGTGACGCACACCAGAGCAGGCTTGAAATGTGTGTGTGTGTGTGTGTGTGTGTGTGTGTGTGTGTGTGTGGGTGTGTGTGTGTGTGGAGTAGTACGTAGTAGTGTAGTAGTAGTAGTAGTAGTGTAGTTAGTCGTAGTGTAGTGTGTGTGTAGTGTGTGTGTGTGTGTGTGTGTGTAGTGTGTGTGTGTGTGTGTGTGTGTGTGTGTGTGTGTGTGTGTGTGTGTGTGTGTGTGTGTGTGTGTGTGTGTGTGTGTGTTAGATGGGGTATTGTGTTTGTTTGATGATGTAGAGGTGTGTGTGTACTGTATGAGTGTGTGTGCAAAGCAGGAGACACAGGAGGTGAGAAGACAGACTGACAGACAGATGGACAGACAAGGTCAGCGTCCAACCCCACTGCAGGGTCACTCAGCCGTGACATCCAATCTGAAATGCACTTGGCATGTGAGATTAAACAAAATGTGTAAACAGAAAAATCTTATCCTTTTTTTTTACAGTATAGTATACATAATATATTTCAGATTGTCCATACAGACTACTTGAAATATGGTAGTTGGCAGTTAAATTGAACTTATTCCCAATATCAAAATGACAAGAAATCTTTGAAATCACAGCAGATGGACACAAGGATTATTAATGTGCTCACAAAGACGATGGGCTGGAAAAGCAAAGAAGGAACTTTTGAACAAAGCAGCATGGGACTTCACTGAGTGTCACTAAAATGTCCAGCTTTGTGTATTTCTACTGCTTTGAAGTCTGAATGAAAACAGAGTAAGGTTGGGTGTTCCTTCATTGAATATCATCAAAGACGGGCTTCTTCTTCACGGCCACTGTTCAGCACATTTGGAGCGAAGAGACCACAGCTTGTTAAAATAAATACACCCAATGAATTTATTTGTGTTGCAGGACTTGGACATGGTTGATTGATGGACTGTTTTTATTTTAATTAATGTCTACGTCTATCCCCCAGCAAGACTTTCAGACAGGTTTGCCAGAGCTGTGTAAGCGTGTGCGTTTGGCTCCTCTATAATCCCAGCAGTGGCTTGAAGCATAGTCCTTCTTGTAACCATGATTGCAGCCGTCATGGCGACAGAACCTGAAGCCTCTGTGCTGCCGAACCGTGCATTTAAGTAATTAATCAGCACGTGATGATCTCTGTGTTTACAGAGCACGAAGGGGAAGGGATAGCACGTGTGTGTGTGTGTGTGTGTGTGTGTGTCTGCGTGTGCGTGTGCGTGTAAGCAGTTGTCAGCAGTGTGCGGAGTGTGTTCACAACAAAGGCTGCTCTTTTGTTGGCGCTGCCCTGACTAAATGCACAGCTGCCTCCAAGTGCGAGCGCAGTGTTTAGGGTTTACAACCAGCCGATCCCTGCACTCCCTAAAAGACACACACACATACACAGTAATGACAAATGCACACACACACAGATACAAACAGGGAGTGACGGTCGTTATCCTGTAGATGTAATCAAATATACGAGGCACTCTCCGTGCAGTGAACACATCTTTTTAAATGACTGGTTTTACTGTTCTGTTTTCTCTCCTTACAAGAACACACTGCAAATAGTCTGAAACTTCCAAGGTCGTCGCAAAAAAAAAATTGTCATCACATATTGTTCCTCGCATGTGGTTGACTTTTTAATTTCTCTGTCAAACTTTCGATTTAACATCCTACTTCATTGTTATTCAGAGGATTGGACACATGCGCTAAGATTTTTCTAACTATCAAAGATTGTCTGAGTTTTTTTTTTTTTTTCACCTTTGTAGAAAGCCAAGCTAGCTGTTGGCAGGTCTCTATGCTAAGCTAAGCGAACTAGCTTCCGAGTGAAGACTTCTTTTTGTAAATTGGCAGGTATAATATGCTTTACATATAGACATGTCTAAACAATAGACAAGTCCTTTTTGAAGTCTCCTTCAATGCATGGAGAGCTGCTCTCCCGACACAATTTCACGGAGCTCCCGGAATGTTGCAACATGGCAGAGAGCCCTTAATGAA